TCGGACTTTTTACGGTAAACCTCCGTGCATTGTTGATCCCACCAGAGCGATGGTGTTTTCTTACGAATAGACAATCGCGGCACCGGTCGTGTTTGAGCTTGAAGTGCGCTGTCGACGATGAGATTAGAGAGGAAATTATATTCCTCCAACGGCGGAAGCTCTTCCACTGACGATACTGTATCGTCTATCGCGGATTGGAACTTAGTCCAATCGATGTTACGGGTTAGATCATACGCGACGTTAACGGATTCTGACGAGTTGAACCCACTGGCAATCGAAATTTTGATCGGCAGATGATCACTACCGTGCGGATCCTGGATTACATGCCAAGTGCAATCCAACGATAGTGAATTGGAGCAAAAGGTGAGGTCTAATCTGCTACCATTAGAGGATGGACCAGCCAAACGTGTTACTTCTCCATTGTTAAGGATTGTCATGTTGAAGTTGTCGCAGAGATCATAAATCAAAGTAGAACGGTTATCATCGTACAGCTCCCCCCAGCCTGTACCGTGGGAGTTAAAATCTCACATGATCAACCATGGAGCGGGAAGTACCGCACATATGTCGAAAAGTTGTTTGCGATTAACAGAGGCTCTAGGAGCAATATATACAGAAGCAATACAAAGGCTCTTACCTTTAATGGTAGCCTGACATGCAACAACTTCAATACCGGGGAATTCGGGAAGATTCACTCTATAGAAGGAATGGCACTTTTTGATCCCCAAAAGTACCCCTCCTCCACGTGAATCCTCACGATCCAATCGAATAATGTTAAAATCATAAAAAGGGAGATCAATTTCTGAAGAGAGCCATGTTTCACAGAGGGCAAATGCATCGCAATTATTGTTATGGACTAAATACTTGAACGAATCTAATTTCGGAATAAGACTTCGACAATTCCACTGTAGAATAGTGATCAAATCCCCGACCTCGTTTGGAAAATTATCCATCGAAGGAGATGATAGCTGCAAGAAGGGGCCATTTTGAAGTCAATTGCTTCAAGAAGGATTTCACAGTGGGAAGCAATGTGAGGACAATGCTCTTCAGAGGATCAGAAATGTTGAGGTATTTGAGAATACCGTCCACAATGTCATCAAATGAGAACAACCCAGATGAAGAAGGGGCTTGTGTTCTGAAAATTGGGCCATCGGGGGTTTTGGATGTCCCCGGGAGAGGTGGAAAATCCTGGGTATAATCAGTTCTGCGGAATCCAGGAGGAGTAGAAGTCTCCTTTTTTCCACCACTCCTTGATTTGGGCAAGCTGATTTGGGGTTCTTTATTTGCAACAATCCGCGAACGGATGCGCTTTCGTTTCCGTGCAGAACCTTCCGGAAAACTGAAAGAAGTTCCCTCCTCAGCCAAGTCAGAGTCAGTCTCGTCATCTGACAAAAGAGAAAAGCGATTTTTGTCAGTGGTCGATGGCGTGGCTGTCTTAAGCATTTCTGCAAAAGACCGCCTGGAACGTTCCTTAAGGGAGCGTTTCATTTTGTCCCCGAGCTGTTTGTACGCCGGGCATGACGAGAGAGCATGAGGAGGAGTTCCATTGCAGTACACGCATTTTGGTGCAGTAGCTGCGCAGGCGCCATCCTCATGCTTCTCCCCGCATGTGGAGCAGCGTGCCTTGTTGCCGCAGTGGGAGGCCGTATGTCCAAACCGCTTGCAATTCTTGCAGTTCATGACCCGAGGTACAAACAACCGCACAGGAAGACGAAGTTTTCCCAGCTCGATGTATTGAGGAAGGGCAGATCCAGAAAAGGTCACCCGAAACGAGTCTGTGGGGGGGTAAAACTCTTTTTACCCTCGCAGAGCGATACTGACTTCATTCTATGAACGGCCAGTATATTTACCGGAGGAAGCAAGGGGTTCTTGAATCGGCCAACCGCTTGCTTCTCCAATATCTCGGGGTTCAGACTCGCCTCAGTGACCACGCCTTCGATCTCCACATCAGAGGCTGGAATGTACACCCTATATTCCAGTGTGAAAAATTGGGAAACAGCAATTTCATTGGCCTGTTTCAGGTTAGCGACGGTCACACGAAGTTTGTTGTGCCTAACCTTCGTTATTTCGGTCACGGCAGAGAATCGCTTTGTCAGATCATCAGATATCTGAAAAACATTCAAGGGTTTGTTTTTGGGCTGAAAATAGACAACCCATGGGCCAGTCGAGTCATTCGGGTAGGCCCGCAATCTGGAGCTTTTCTCAGCCTGCCCATTGACAGACTGAGACGACGAACCAGGGATGACATCACCATTTTTCTGAGATGAATGGTCATCCATGTCGTCTTCTGACAAAACATCCATTTTGTTCAACTAGTGGGAGCGCAAAACGCTCTCCCACTGAACGCACAGACAAAATACACAGAAAACACTACAAACACAGAAATACAAAATGAAAATTTAACTAATGGGGGAGTAAAAGAAACAAGAAAAAAACAAAAACTTATCTGATAATCCTATACTACTACCACCGAGCGTTATATGTGTAGGCGTTTACACAGATGGCTGGGAAGCGACGCGCAGCGTGGATGACCTTCGCTGTGGTGCACTGAAATTTTCGAAGAGTTGATTCTTTCGTCGAATAAAATCGCTGCTATGGATCGAAAACCAGCTAATCTCCGCTAACTAACAGTTCAGTGGTTTGCTGTCGGTTGTTATTTCGATTGTCATCTTTTCACAAGATCTGGAGAAAGCTGGTATGTTTTAATACTTTCGACAATGTTTTATGATTTCGCGGGCCACGCTCACTTTACTCTTCTCCGCCAGATGGTCAGTCGTTGATGGTGTGCTGGTTCTTCTAAAGAAGTAAATTTTGCTGAAATCGACTTGAATTTTTCATCCTACTTCGTCTATCCTTCGAGATTTCCTTGTCATAAATTTGGCATTTATTAACTATGAGGAACCATCTTCTAAGCTCAATTTGTAAACAGAGTAATTGGGGAGTTAATGATGCACTTCAAAAAGCCTAAAAAGCAACAATAAATGATTTTTGCTCTAATTCAAAACCTAATGGTTTTATGGTTGCTTTTATAATTTTTTTTTTGTTTATTAATTTATTTGATAAGGCTCAACCGAATTAACTTTACAGAGCCGAGGTTTCTTGGTCACTATACAATACATTTTAAAACTATAGTCAAAAGGTACAACACAATAAACACTTTATCTTCCGCTATCCAAAAAGCCTCCTCCATCAGAACTGGAGCCGCTTCCAGTAGTTTCATTGTATGGCAAATTGTTGTACGCCAACGATGGTCAGAGCGCGTCCATTGCAGCAATGGACGCAAAACGTGGTCAGCACTCACACACTCATCACGAAGCGGTTGCTTTCCAAAGTCGACGACGCATCGACCGAAAGAACTGCTGATGAAGAACAATGAGGAGGACCACACAATGGTTGCTGCCGAGAAAACAGACGATCGCGTAGCACACATCGAGAGTGGCCTGCTTTTGTCGACAGCCGAGTGAACACTCAGTTGCTTTTATAATGATAGAACACGTTTATACAGTATTTTATCAAGACATTAATAAACAATTGTTAATGACGTTTATGCTTGAATTACAGAACAGTTTTAAGGAGGGATTGATAACTGTTTTAACATTATTTTTAAAACAAGACAGTTTCTGACTTTCTTGCCAGACTATAAAAGGTTTTTAAAGCAGCAAAAAGCTGAATTACTAAGCAGGAATGTTTTACACTTTGAAATGCTATATTTAAACTAATTGGATTGTTCATTGCCGTTATAAAGCCATCATAAATCAGAGTGGATGCTAAATGGTTACTGGATTGTTACTTGGGTAGTCTACACGTATTCCGTAAAACGTCTGGACGTCTTGAGAATCTTTCAAAGGAAATCAAGAGAAACTTCTGGATGTAGTTAGAAGAAGCTCCTGGTAGATCAGTAGAAACCGAGGAAATTAGGAAAACAATCTAGAGAAGTTGTATGACATGTTCTGGAGTAGTTGGATTAAACTGAAGTCTGAAGAAATTTTCGGGGGAAATTTGTTATTTTTTCAAAAAATTGTTCAACGATATGTTTTATGCAAGGGGCTGTTCATTAACTACGTAGACTTTTTTTTTGGATTCTTGACCTCCCCCCTCCTCCCCCGTAGACAATTGTCCATAAATTTTTTTAATTTGTATGGGCCGTGGATAATAGCCAACCACCCCCCATAAACTGTCTACGTAGTTTATGAACAGCCCCCAAAAGGATTCCCAACAAACATTGAATGTTGAATGAGAGCTTATTCAGGCAACAATAAGCGTCTTCAGCTAAAAAATTGCTTATTCAGCTGTTAATCAACTCAAATTGTTTGTTGGGTTGAGCTTAAACTGACCCATAACAAAAATTGCTCTAATTGACTCACATTTTGTGCACATGAAAAAGTGTAAAATTTTACTCAAATTCTGTATAAACAGATAATTTTATATATGTCTCATGGCTCTGGGAGGAAAGGTAACATTTGAATCCTAACCCCCTTTCACTGTGCCACTGAGTCAGATTTGAAGTTGAGTGACCACCCAAGGCTGATCAAATCACTCAAATATCTGTTTTTTTTTTTTAATTCTCATGTGATTTGTTCATTCTTTGATAATCGTGGGTGTCACTTGCGTTCGCTAAAATCCTGCTACCTCAGGAAAAGTTAGTAAATACATTCAACTGCCTCGAACAGCTTTTGCCACTGCATTTAATTCAATGTCCAACCGCAATGTTCACACCTTTTTCCCGATTACGTGATTCATTTTATTGCATCTAAATCCGACAGACAGACGGTTGCATATCACAAACTGGATTGCTTTATCGGTGTAATCCCGCCAACTCCTCTCTCTATCTTTACGTCAAAGTGCCCCGTGGCTATTGAAATAAGATCGTGTCGTGTGTTTTCTACTCTCGTGATACATCGGCTCCCCTTCTGGCCACCATCAGTTACAAAGTTTTTAAACATAGACTATTGGTAGGCATTCAACAAAAGTATACTTACTGTAACATGTACACAAGTACGAACCTGTTTCACGTAGACTTCCTTGATCTCCGGTCGGTAGGAGGTACAGCGAGGTGGGATCTCCAGGCACCATTCCCTGGTAAGTACCTGCACGGTTTGGTTGCGGGGAACCATCTCGAGTTCGGTGTAGCTGGTTCGGTGGCGATAAAGCAAAACATTAGTACGGAATGAGATCGCCATAGCTGTTTGATGGTTATGTAATTGTTGAGGCGTTCAATAACCTTATAAATTAATTTGAAATTAAAACTTTACCTAATTCGCGATCAAAATAACCATTAATCACTCATTTGTCTTTTAACCTACATAAATCGATCACGACGTCCAGCGCAACAAAAAATAAGGCCAATGTCACTCGGTGGATCACGAAACAGGAGAAAGAAAAACATGCCAAAACAAACTCAGTTACCAACCATAATAGTTAATTATTCCACCCAAAGAAGCATTATATCATACACATAATCAACGACAGGTAGTGACGAATCCACCCATCGCCATCACGTCGTCACGCTTTGGAACGGCTTGCATTCAGGTGAACCCTCCGGCGCGACAATAATCGCTGATTGTCACTCCACACAAACCGACAGCACCCGTTTCAATCCCTCCCGGACATTTCCTTTCTCAAAATACACTTCATTCAATCGAATCCTTTTGTTATAATGGGGAAAATTGAGAAATCACTTTTTCATTCCGCCAAACATTAACATTGCACTTGTGCATTCCATTTTTCACTGTCAATTTTAATCGCAAGTGTCAATATCAAGTTTATTAATTCGATAATACAATAATGACACATAATGGTAATGACTGAGACCGGCGTCGGTTGGTGAGACGGTGAGCGATTTTTCTATTGCCATACTTACTGCCGGTGCTCGCTTCTTTGTTTGCTGTGTACGCTAATTTTCACGGTTTTCTACCATGATCTTTTATTTGGTTTCGTTGGTTGAGCTTGCTCTTGCTCGCACAGCATAACTGACATGATACGCTACGGGTCGTGTGATCTGAACTCGCAATTGGCTGGCATTTGGAGAACCACCAAAGGGTAAAACGATTTTTATTGGTTGATTACCGTGTGCTAGGGGTTTTAGTTTTGGTCGGTAGCTTCGCTTTTTGTCATAATTTTGGGTCGTTTCTAAATTGGATTTGCGTGACTTTTCCGTTGCGTTCCGACATAAGCGAAATGCAATTTTTCGACCGACCTGCTTCGTGCAAATTTTTGGGTTATACACTCGATATGGTTTACAGCATACCGACACGATAAGCTCATTTAAATTTTAAAATTATTACTTCGCTGAGGTTACGAAAATGACATGAAATAAACTTTTGGATTTTTTTTCAAATTATAAATTATACAACATAACATAATTAAGGCTCTCTTCTCGAACACATTTCGTCAGTATTGATTTGGTCATTTGGACTAATGACCAATGAATAAGGTTTTGTAACATTTGGCGAGAGATAGTTCGAACATTATTTTCCATCTTCGACAGTCCCTGTGTTGTCGATGGACCGATTTTCAAACAGCAAAAATAATGGCGATAAAATAGCAGAGTTGTTCGATAGGACTACAAAATAGTGAGTTGACAACCTGGAAGGAATGTGGTACCTAGCTCCAGTCCTCACAAGTCCCTACCTCACGCCTCCACGAGTCATTACAAACGGCTACCAGCTGAAACATGGACACAGCTGGGTGGCGTAGCCTGGGCAATGTTGTCAATCCGACAATAGCGAAGTGAGGAGGTGCGGAGCGAACACTGGCACGATAACCGTAACACGGCGTTAAAGAAAATACTTTGCCAACTCGAGCGTCCATCACGGAAGACATAAACCAACAGAGAAAGATAACAAATCGACTTTACGGAAAGGACTTTTCGCGCAAAACAAAGAACAAGAATTGGAACTAGACGCACATGAAGATGTGCAGGTACCAAGGTGTTTTTATCCTAGGCAAAAGGTAAGCTCCAAATTCGCTATTATCGTCACCGTTGGCAGTACTATTCGTAAATTTTACGGTTTAACCATCGACCGTAGAAGATACATGAATTATCGCGTATCTTAATCGTTCGTTACATACCAAAAGAGACCTTTTTTTTCCTTGATTTGTTTTTCGTCGATCTTGTTTCCCGTGTTGAGCACCAATGCTACCGACGCCAGGTAGGCAGCTCCCACACCTGGACCCTACCTATCGACCCATCAACTCATGAACCGGGGACCGACGGCTTTACTTCCTTTCCGAAGAAAGGCGTGATCAGAGATGTTATGCCTCAGAACATCCCGGCGGCGCCGACTGGGATTGAACCCAGGCCTGCTGGGGTGAGAGATAATCACGCTTACCACTACAACACCGGCGCTGCTAAAAAGAGAACTTAATCGTACTTTGACTGTGGATTGTGAGATGCTCGATGACCCTGGAGGAATCGGTTGTGCTTGCTGAGCAGAAAATCATGGGTTTAATCCCAAGCTCTCTATCATGACTCTTTTTTTTAACTAGTTCGTTTATTTACTAGGCTCAGTCGTGTGTGACACTTTGCGGAGCCAAAATCAGTAATGTTTGAATTTACATTTTAAATAGCAGTAGTTCTAGGTTAGTATTGGGTACCAATTACTCGTGGTGGGCTCGAGGTTAATGGGTAACAATTTCGATTGGAAGGAGCTAGGTAGGAAACTGGTTTCTGAAGCCTCCTTCAGATACTACCCTCGGACGGTCTATCATGACTCTTAAAATGTATGATCACTAACTAAAATTGACCTATTTTTTCGCTAGCCGGATATCGAGAGATTAAATGAGCAACACATAAACAATATATACTTTTGGTTGCATCGCCAACTTAAGGCGCCCACCCTCCAACTCCATAGCACTTATGAGGGTGTCGCTAAGTCGGTGGTCTCTCGTGAAGTAAGTACTTCCATATCCCTAGTTATGGTAAAGATGGGCGTAGCCCGGAATAGCGACAGTCATGCTTCTGGTATTCCTATTTAGATTGGAATCAATGTTTACTCCCCAGAATAATTCCTGAAAGTTCAAAAAGGTCGTGTGTGTCGCTAGTATCAAATCTACGAAGTACCTATATCATAACGACGCTTACGCTAACGCTAAATAACGATAACACTCTATCAGTCACTTTACCTACGAGTAGAATTTAACTTGGCAATTAGGACACAGCTTAAAATGAAGGTGAACCATTGCACGTTTTTGAAATGTGCAGGGGAGACGGCGCTGGCAAAGTGGTTAACATCCATACCTCTCACGCCAGAGTCACGAGTTTAAATCTCATCCCGGACACATTAGGGGAGGTGCATGAGGGTGGGGTGTCGTTTTCTTATCAGAGTGTTGTCGCCAGTATGAACTGTAGTTTGGTTCTCGATTCGCCTGAAGTTTGACCGGCTTCTAATGATGATGATGATGGTCCCACCTCTTACCCCTTTTAAGGTTTGAGCTGGACGATTTATCTTTAAGATAATTAAATATGACGTTTCAACCAGGTTTGCAAACAAACGAGCTGGTTACATTTACAGATATAAATTCCCTATAGAGTTTACAGTTGCTTCACAGCAGCGATATAAATGTGAAAAAGCTTAGGCGTCCACGTCTTAGTTCGCCTTTTTGTCCACCTAAAATATTCAGAAGTATTACAAGCGATCAACAAAGCATCCTATTACACTAGCAACCCCGCAATCTGATGCTATCATAATTTTCAGCAATCTCAGGAATGCTCATGAACCCCCAACATTTGCCATAAAACTTACTACTAACTCAAGGTATCTTCCAAATAAGCTTCAAAATTGCATTTTTTTTATCAAATATTAAATTCAGTCCTCTATATCCGTAATACGCGCGCGAGGTTCAAACCTTTGTAGACTTTTGTTTCAAATTAATCTACTATTAAATCAAATATTAAAAATCCATCATCACCATCGTGGCGAACAGAATTAGTTTTTGCAGTGCTACAATAATTATTAAAAAAAAGTCGTTATGCTTATCCATATAAAATAATCCGTTAGAGATAACTTCGTCAAGATATATAATTTCTCAATTCATAAAAAAATCACTGGATAACTGGTCAAAAGACAGTTTTAACGTGTGAAATGCAGTGTCTTTTAAATTATGTAAGGGTTACTGAACGTTTTATTTGTCTAGACATCAAATTGAAAACATTTATTCCTTTATAATATAATGGTGGTGTTCTTATTTCAACCGCGTTTCTAGTATTATATCTATGAAAATCACTTCCTCTTTCAATTCGATCACACAAATATCGAGGCAGTAAACCGTTAACTACTTTAAAAATGAACACCATAGTCAAGTATACAATTCTTTGCTTCACCGACAACCATTGTAAGGCGTCTAGCATCATTAGAGGAAGTGAATCTATTACATCTCAAAATCAAACGCATTATTTTATTCTGCAAGCGCTGTAATCTCGATATTTGTGTTTCATTGGACAGAAATAAAATGGAAGGGTAAAAGTCTAGATGAGGAGAGATGATTGATTTGTATAGCTGTATTTTACTGGCAATAGTTAAATCGTTTATCAGTCGACATAGAATTCCATACTTCTTGGCAATTTTCTTGATGACATTGTCAATGTTGAGTGTGCCAAGAATAATCACGTCAAGATATTTAATCTCCCGAACGCAATCAATAGTCTCATCATCAATTACAAGAAAGACGTTCTCATTTACTCGATTCCGCGAAATTACCATAAATTTAGTTTTACTTGTATTCAATTTCAAAAGCTTATACTTCAACCATCTAGTTAGAGAACGCAAATCTTCATTCAAGTGTAAACGGCATCATCTAAATCGTAAAACACGTCGCAAGTCATTAATATACATAATAAATAACAGGGGCTCTAATACACTTCCCTGGGACACTCCAAGGTTATTCCCCACGGGACTGGAAACAGAATCATTAAAAACAGTCCGTTGAGTTCTGTCAGACATATACCTTTCAAACCATTTATATACAGTACTCGTAATTCCAAAGCGCTTGATTGATCTTAACAATAAGGGCCTAGAAATTGTTTCAAAAGCACGTTTAAGATCCAAAAAAACTGCAACAATCGTATCTTTACACTCCAAGTTATTGTTCAACTTCGCTAATACCAAATTCAACGCGGTTTCATAAGAGTG